TGTCCGCAATGTTTGAAGAATTACGAGCAACATAGTAAACGGAAACTTCTGAATACATTCTATTATCATTGCGAAGGTTGTAATGATAGGTGAGTTTTCCATGCTTTATAGAATTATAAATCACATAAAAAATAATAACATTTCTCTTATTGTGATAATTTTTTTTGCCATGAGGTGCCGGCTTAAAATAGCATTACCCCATATCTTTCCGGCGGGTGTTGTAAGAAGCGACAAAGCGATTTGAGAATGTTGATGTGTATTGCAATTTTAGGTGACATGCTGACAACTTGTCACTATGGTTGTACATAGTCTTCTGTATGACTCTCAAACTTTAGTCAGATGTGCTGCGAATGGCCGTTTATAACAGCCGTTTACGCTCTGCCTACCCCGCATGGGACAAAGGCGTGATATATGTATGTATGTAGGATACGTTTTTATTCAGTCAAATATTCGGCAAATTCAGAATAACAAATTCAGTACAAATATTCATCTGCCGAACATGCCGATATTCATCCCATCTCTACTCTGGACCATTGCCTCTTAAAAGGTTTGCAAAATCAAGGGCCATTCTATCAAATTAATATTCCAGGTTCACAACATGCAGCGCGCTCTTCGCTCACGAGGGCGAGTGCGTTCGCTACGAGAAGATTATCTACAGGAAAGCGATCCCCACTGAGTCTATGTGGAAGTGTGAGATATGCAACATACTGTGCCTCAGTCAGGAACGATACGATGAACATTATTTACTGCTACATTCCGTCAGGTGAGACTTATTAACACCCTGTATTAAGAAGATTATCTACAAGAAAGCTATACCTACTGAGTCTATGTGGAAGTGTGAGATATGCAACATACTGTGCCTCAGTCAGGAACGATACGATGAACATTACTTACTGCTGCATTCCGTCAGGTGAGACTTATCTATACATACATATATCACGCCTATATCCCATGCAGGGTACGCAGATCGTAAACGGCTGTTTAAAACGGCCATTTTGCCACGGCCACATTTGACAAAAGTTTGAGAGTCATTTAGAAGATTGTGTGTCACCATAGTGACAGGTTCTCAGGTAAGATTTATCTGTATTATTATAATAAGATTCCAATATTAGAAGACCTAGACTGACATACCTAGATCAAATCGGGAACGTTTTAAAGAAAGGCCAGGTCAAGAGTACCTTAAACCGACGAGGGTGCATAAAAAAATGATGTATGTATGTTGAAGAAGCGAAAGAGGTGTGTCACAAGTGGAAGGATGTAGTCTCTGCCTATCCCTCCGGGAAAGGGGCGTGATTTATGTATCAATATTAGCTGTATGTGTTTGTTATGAGGAGATTATCTACAAGAAAGCTATACCTACAGAGTCCATGTGGAAGTGTGAGATATGCAACATACTGTGTCTCAGCCAGGAGCGATACGATGAACATTACTTACTGCTGCATTCCGTCAGGTGAGACTCTATAGCAACCCTGTGGTGCCGGCTTAGAATAGCATCACCCCATATCCAGCCAGGAGCGATACGATGAACATTACTTACTGCTAGATTCCGTCAGGTGAGACTTATACCCTGTGGTGCCGGCTTATAGCATTACCCCATATCCAGCCAGGAGCGATACGATGAACATTACTCACTGCTACATTCCGTCAGGTGAGACTCTATAGCAAACCCTGTGGTGCCGGCTTATAGCATCACCCCATATCCAGCCAGGAACGATACGATGAACATTACTTACTGCTACATTCCGTCAGGTGAGACTCTATAGACCCTGTGGTGCCGGCTTAGAATAGCATCACCCCATATCCAGCCAGGAACGATACAATGAACATTACTTACTGCTGCATTCCGTCAGGTGAGACTCTATAGCAACCCTGTGGTGCCGGCTTATAGCATCACCCCATATCCAGCCAGGAGCGATACGATGAACATTACTTACTGCTACATTCCGTCAGGTGAGACTCTATAGACCCTGTGGTGCCGGCTTAGAATAGCATCACCCCATATCCAGCCAGGAACGATACAATGAACATTACTTACTGCTACATTCCGTCAGGTGAGACTCTATAGCAACCCTGTGGTGCCGGCTTATAGCATCACCCCATATCCAGCCAGGAACGATACGATGAACATTACTTACTGCTACATTCCGTCAGGTGAGACTCTATAGCAACCCTGTGGTGCCGGCTTATAGCATCACCCCATATCCAGCCAGGAACGATACGATGAACATTACTTACTGCTACATTCCGTCAGGTGAGAGTCATCCCTGTGGTGCCGGCTTAGAATAGCATCACCCCATATCCAGCCAGGAACGATACGATGAACATTACTTACTGCTACATTCCGTCAGGTGAGACTCTATAGACCCTGTGGTGCCGGCTTAGAATAGCATCACCCCATATCCAGCCAGGAACGATACAATGAACATTACTTACTGCTGCATTCCGTCAGGTGAGACTCTATAGCAACCCTGTGGTGCCGGTTTATAGCATCACCCCATATCCAGCCAGGAACGATACGATGAACATTACTTACTGCTGCATTCCGTCAGGTGAGACTCTATAGCAACCCTGTGGTGCCGGTTTATAGCATCACCCCATATCCAGCCAGGAGCGATACGATGAACATTACTTACTGCTACATTCCGTCAGGTGAGACTCTATAGACCCTGTGGTGCCGGCTTAGAATAGCATCACCCCATATCCAGCCAGGAACGATACAATGAACATTACTTACTGCTGCATTCCGTCAGGTGAGACTCTATAGCAACCCTGTGGTGCCGGTTTATAGCATCACCCCATATCCAGCCAGGAACGATACGATGAACATTACTTACTGCTGCATTCCGTCAGGTGAGACTCTATAGCAACCCGGTGGTGCGGGTTTATAGCATCACCCCATATCCAGCCAGGAGCGATACGATGAACATTACTTACTGCTGCATTCCGTCAGGTGAGACTCTATAGCAAACCCTGTGGTGCCGGCTTAGAATAGCATCACCCCATATCCAGCCAGGAGCGATACGATGAACATTACTTACTGCTGCATTCCGTCAGGTGAGACTCTATAGCAACCCTGTGGTGCCGGTTTATAGCATCACCCCATATCCAGCCAGGAACGATACGATGAACATTACTTACTGCTGCATTCCGTCAGGTGAGACTCTATAGCAACCCTGTGGTGCCGGTTTATAGCATCACCCCATATCCAGCCAGGAGCGATACGATGAACATTACTTACTGCTACATTCTGTCAGGTGAGAGTTATCCCTGTGGTGCCGGCTTAGAATAGCATCACCCCATATCCAGCCAGGAGCGATACGATGAACATTACTTACTGCTACATTCCGTCAGGTGAGACTCTATAGCAACCCTGTGGTGCCGGTTTATAGCATCACCCCATATCCAGCCAGGAGCGATACGATGAACATTACTTACTGCTACATTCCGTCAGGTGAGACTATAGCAACCCTGTGGTGCCGGCTTAGATAGCATCACCCCATATCCAGCCAGGAGCGATACGATGAACATTACTTACTGCTACATTCTGTCAGGTGAGACTCTATAGCAACCCTGTGGTGCCGGCTTAGAATAGCATCACTCCATATCCAGCCAGGAACGATACGATGAACATTACTTACTGCTGCATTCCGTCAGGTGAGACTCTATAGACCCTGTGGTGCCGGCTTAGAATAGCATCACCCCATATCCAGCCAGGAACGATACAATGAACATTACTTACTGCTACATTCCGTCAGGTGAGACTCTATAGCAACCCTGTGGTGCCGGCTTAGAATAGCATCACTCCATATCCAGCCAGGAATGATACGATGAACATTACTTACTGCTACATTCCGTCAGGTGAGACTCTATAGCAACCCTGTGGTGCCGGTTTATAGCATCACCCCATATCCAGCCAGGAACGATACGATGAACATTACTTACTGCTACATTCCGTCAGGTGAGACTCTATAGCAACCCTGTGGTGCCGGCTTAATAGCATCACCCCATATCCAGCCAGGAGCGATACGATGAACATTACTTACTGCTACATTCCGTCAGGTAAGACTTTATAGCAAACCCTGTGGTGCCGGCTTAGAATAGCATCACCCCATATCCAGCCAGGAGCGATACGATGAGCATTACTTACTGCTACATTCCGTCAGGTAAGACTTTATAGCAAACCCTGTGGTGCCGGCTTAGAATAGCATCACCCCATATCCAGCCAGGAGCGATACGATGAGCATTACTTACTGCTACATTCCGTCAGGTAAGACTTTATAGCAAACCCTGTGGTGCCGGCTTAGAATAGCATCACCCCATATCCAGCCAGGAGCGATACGATGAGCATTACTTACTGCTACATTCCGTCAGGTAAGACTTTATAGCAAACCCTGTGGTGCCGGCTTAGAATAGCATCACCCCATATCCAGCCAGGAACGATACGATGAACATTACTTACTGCTACATTCCGTCAGGTGAGACTTTACAGTATATATTAGCAAGCTATAGAGAGCGCCTAAAAGTTAGAACGGTTTGCAGTAGTCTTCACACATCCTCTGTCTATCAGTAGCAAAACCCCAGTGACGACACTATTGAACCTCTGACTTTTCATCCATTTGACGTCTGTATCTATGGAGCAGCTGTTTACGGTTTGACAGTACGGCGCGGGGACTTACGCGCACTCTATAGCTTGCTTATAATGTATAGAAAGCTATACCTATAAATATTTGTCAGACGTGGCGACAACGACCGTATTTTTGCGGTTTTTGACGCTCTGTCTACCCCGCAAGGGATAGAGGCGTGATTTCTGTATGTATGTATAATCATTTAGATTATCTACAAGAAAGCTATACCTACCGAGTCCATGTGGAAGTGTGAGATATGCAACATACTGTGCCTCAGCCAGGAACGATACGATGAACATTACTTACTGCTACATTCCGTCAGGTGAGACTTATCTATATTCTCACACAAGAAAATAAGAAATAAAAAAAATGTCATGCATCGACCGGGGATCGAACCCGGGCCGCATGGGTAAACGCCCCACCGCTCTGCCACTGAAGCTATCGATGCACCGATTGATGAATGCCAAATTTTCTATCTCTTAATACTCGCCTCTAAACCACGATCCATTTATCTAGATGTAAGATCCAGTATTTTTTTCCGTTCCTTATTTTCATTTGTGAGAATAATATGGCACTGTGAGTGCATTGAAATCCCAATAGACTTATCTATATTAAGATATCAATATTAGCTGTACCTATGTGTAAGCTATGAGAAGATTATCTACAAGAAAGCTATACCTACCGAGTCCATGTGGAAGTGTGAGATATGCAACATACTGTGTCTCAGCCAGGAGCGATACGATGAACATTACTTACTGCTACATTCCGTCAGGTGAGACTTATCTATACATACATATATCACGCCTATATCCCATGCAGGGTACGCAGATCGTAAACGGCTGTTTAAAACGGCCATTTTGCCACGGCCACATTTGACAAAAGTTTGAGAGTCATTTAGAAGATTGTGTGTCACCATAGTGACAGGTTCTCAGGTAAGATTTATCTGTATTATTATAATAAGATTCCAATATTAGAAGACCTAGACTGACATACCTAGATCAAATCGGGAACGTTTTAAAGAAAGGCCAGGTCAAGAGTACCTTAAACCGACGAGGGTGCATAAAAAAATGATGTATGTATGTTGAAGAAGCGAAAGAGGTGTGTCACAAGTGGAAGGATGTAGTCTCTGCCTATCCCTCCGGGAAAGGGGCGTGATTTATGTATCAATATTAGCTGTATGTGTTTGTTATGAGGAGATTATCTACAAGAAAGCTATACCTACAGAGTCCATGTGGAAGTGTGAGATATGCAACATACTGTGTCTCAGCCAGGAGCGATACGATGAACATTACTTACTGCTACATTCCGTCAGGTGAGACTTATACCCTGTGGTGCCGGCTTATAGCATTACCCCATATCCAGCCAGGAGCGATACGATGAACATTACTTACTGCTACATTCCGTCAGGTGAGACTTATACCCTGTGGTGCCGGCTTATAGCATTACCCCATATCCAGCCAGGAGCGATACGATGAACATTACTCACTGCTACATTCCGTCAGGTGAGACTCTATAGCAAACCCTGTGGTGCCGGTTTATAGCATCACCCCATATCCAGCCAGGAGCGATACGATGAACATTACTTACTGCTACATTCTGTCAGGTGAGAGTTATCCCTGTGGTGCCGGCTTAGAATAGCATCACCCCATATCCAGCCAGGAGCGATACGATGAACATTACTTACTGCTACATTCCGTCAGGTGAGACTCTATAGCAACCCTGTGGTGCCGGTTTATAGCATCACCCCATATCCAGCCAGGAGCGATACGATGAACATTACTTACTGCTACATTCCGTCAGGTGAGACTTATCTATACGCTCACAAATGAATATAAGAAATAGAAAACATTTCATGCATCGACCGGGGATCGAACCCGGGCCGCATGGGTAAACGCCCCACCGCTCTGCCACTGAAGCTATCGATGCACCGATTGATGAATGCCAAATTTTCTATCTCTTAATACTCGCCTCTAAACCACGATCCATTTATCTAGATGTAAGATCCAGTATTTTTTTCCGTTTCTTATTTTCATTTGTGAGAATAATATGGCACTGTGAGTGCATTGAAATCCCAATAGACTTATCTATATTAAGATATCAATATTAGCTGTACCTATGTGTAAGCTACGAGAAGATTATCTACAGGAAAGCTATACCTACTGAATCCATGTGGAAGTGTGAGATATGCAACATACTGTGTCTCAGCCAGGAGCGATACGATGAACATTACTTACTGCTGCATTCCGTCAGGTGAGACTCTATAGCAAACCCTGTGGTGCCGGCTTAGAATCACCCCATATCCAGCCAGGAGCGATACGATGAACATTACTTACTGCTACATTCCGTCAGGTGAGACTTATCATCATCATCATTAAGATTATCTTCATCAAAATCCCAGAAACTGTGTATAAGAAACTCATCAGAAACTAAGTATCCAACAAATGTACCCACGAAATTGCCAGAAACATGGTTTAAAATGCATATTCATAGGGAATTTTTCGGAAACATTGTATAAGAAACAAAGTTTCTGGGAGTTTCTAACTAATGAATACCCGTTTCATAGAAGAAAGTTTTCCATAAGAGGGAAAGAGAAAGCATGAACGTTTCGCTTGGTGTATGTAAGAGCCTTAGTGCGAGTGAGAAAGCATGATCTCCGGCTGCCATTTATATTCCCTTTCTTCTGTGAAACGGGTAGTAAGATATCAATATTAGCTTTATGTATCTACGAGAAGATTATCTACAGGAAAGCTATACCTACCGAGTCCATGTGGAAGTGTGAGATATGCAACATACTGTGCCTCAGCCAGGAGCGATACGATGAACATTACTTACTGCTGCATTCCGTCAGGTGAGACTTATTAACACCCTGTATTAAGAAGATTATCTACAGGAAAGCTATACCCACCGAGTCCATGTGGAAGTGTGAGATATGCAACATACTGTGCCTCAGTCAGGAGCGATACGATGAACATTACTTACTGCTACATTCCGTCAGGTGAGACTTATCTATACGCTCACAAATGAATATAAGAAATAGAAAACATTTCATGCATCGACCGGGGATCGAACCCGGGCCGCATGGGTAAACGCCCCACCGCTCTGCCACTGAAGCTATCGATGCACCGATTGATGAATGCCAAATTTTCTATCTCTTAATACTCGCCTCTAAACCACGATCCATTTATCTAGATGTAAGATCCAGTATTTTTTTCCGTTTCTTATTTTCATTTGTGAGAATAATATGGCACTGTGAGTGCATTGAAATCCCAATAGACTTATCTATATTAAGATATCAATATTAGCTGTACCTATGTGTAAGCTATGAGAAGATTATCTACAAGAAAGCGATACCCACCGAGTCCATGTGGAAGTGTGAGATATGCAACATACTGTGTCTCAGCCAGGAGCGATACGATGAACATTACTTACTGCTGCATTCCGTCAGGTGAGACTCTATAGCAACCCTGTGGTGCCGGCTTAGAATAGCATCACCCCATATCCAGCCAGGAGCGATACGATGAACATTACTTACTGCTGCATTCCGTCAGGTGAGACTTATTAACACCCTGTATTAAGATTATCTACAAGAAAGCTATACCACAAATTAGGGAAATTAATATTTACAGTTGGCTCACTCAGTACTAGCGACGATTTTGACGCTTACTGGAAATGACTGGATCTCAACGGAACTCAAGGTAACTAAGAAGATGGTCGCCACGAACATCATAATTCTTAGATGGCTCAGAATTATATGACGTTCTTGTATCAGATTTTGCTCTTTCGATTTGAGATTTTTGGCAGTAGCAACTTTGGGTATGAAACAAGTGACAATCGTGAAAATCCCAAATAGGGTCGAGTGAACCTTCTGTGTAATCTATATTTTGTGTCATCTCATCATCATTAAGATTATCTACAAGAAAGCTATATCTACCGAGTCTATGTGGAAGTGTGAGATATGCAACATACTGTGCCTCAGCCAGGAACGATACGATGAACATTACTTACTGCTACATTCCGTCAGGTGAGACTATAGCAACCCTGTGATGCCGGCTTAGAATAGCATCACCCCATATCCAGCCAGGAGCGATACGATGAACATTACTTACTGCTGCATTCCGTCAGGTGAGACTCTATAGCAAACCTGTGGTGCCGGCTTATAGCATCACCCCATATCCAGCCAGGAGCGATACGATGAACATTACTTACTGCTACATTCCGTCAGGTGAGTCTCTATAGCAACCCTGTGGTGCCGGCTTATAGCATCACCCCATATCCAGCCAGGAGCGATACGATGAACATTACTTACTGCTGCATTCCGTCAGGTGAGACTCTATAGCAACCCTGTGGTGCCGGCTTAGAATAGCATCACCCCATATCCAGCCAGGAGCGATACGATGAACATTACTTACTGCTACATTCGGTCAGGTGAAACTTATCCATAGGCTCACAAATGAATATAAGAAATAGAAAAAATTTCATGCATCGACCGGGGATCGAACCCGGGCCGCATGGGTAAACGCCCCACCGCTCTGCCACTGAAGCTATCGATGCACCGATTGATGAATGCCAAATTTTCTATCTCTTAATACTCGTCTCTAAGCCACGATCCATAAATTTTTTATATTATATGATAGATGTCAGATCCAGTAATTTTTTCCGTTTCATATTTTCATTTGTGAGAATAATATGGCACTGTGAGTGCATTAAAATCCCAATAGACTTATCTATATTAAGATATCAATAATAGTTGTACCTATGTGTAAGCTATGAGAAGATTATCTACAAGAAAGCGATACCCACCGAGTCCATGTGGAAGTGTGAGATATGCAACATACTGTGTCTCAGCCAGGAGCGATACGATGAACATTACTTACTGCTACATTCCGTCAGGTGAGACTTATCTATACATACATATATCACGCCTATATCCCATGCAGGGTACGCAGATCGTAAACGGCTGTTTAAAACGGCCATTTTGCCACGGCCACATTTGACAAAAGTTTGAGAGTCATTTAGAAGATTGTGTGTCACCATAGTGACAGGTTCTCAGGTAAGATTTATCTGTATTATTATAATAAGATTCCAATATTAGAAGACCTAGACTGACATACCTAGATCAAATCGGGAACGTTTTAAAGAAAGGCCAGGTCAAGAGTACCTTAAACCGACGAGGGTGCATAAAAAAATGATGTATGTATGTTGAAGAAGCGAAAGAGGTGTGTCACAAGTGGAAGGATGTAGTCTCTGCCTATCCCTCCGGGAAAGGGGCGTGATTTATGTATCAATATTAGCTGTATGTGTTTGTTATGAGGAGATTATCTACAAGAAAGCTATACCTACAGAGTCCATGTGGAAGTGTGAGATATGCAACATACTGTGTCTCAGCCAGGAGCGATACGATGAACATTACTTACTGCTGCATTCCGTCAGGTGAGACTCTATAGCAAC